ATAGTTTTCAGAGGGCTTTCTTGTGAAAAAGTTTGAGGGAATTCAATTTTTGCTTTTTGCACACCTATCCATAGTATTTACAGGAAGTCACTCTTAAGCTGATGATGAGGCTGATTGGTTTGAAAAGATGTCTGAGGGGTTGACTGTGGCTGAAAAGATGTCTGAGGGGTCGACTGTGGCTGAAAAGACGTCTGAGGGGTCAACTGTGGCTGAAAAGACGTCTGAGGGGTCGACTGTGGTCGAACGAAGAGCTGGGTTTGTCGAGGGGAAGTGAAACTAGTTTGAAAAACTGAGTCTGGACTACATGGTTGGACACAGTGGGGATGACTAGACATTGAACAAACATGCAAATGCTCTGTTAGAGACTTAGTGAGCTTTCAGGCCTTGCCTGCCGGGAGGCTGTTAATATTTTTTGATTAGTGTTATTGGTTATAGACTGTAACATCACAAGTTCCGTTCCGTTTGGCGAGTGGTTGGAAATACTGACTTTCCTTGCACAAGTCGCAAGTTGTGTTTTTACTATTTAATTCAGTAGGGCTTTTTGCTTCGAAGAACAATTTTCTTTCCAATTCCCAAGACATTATGTAAACTTCTTTAAAATTGGAAGCGGACGAATGTCTCAGATGATTCTTACGTAAAAAATAGGTTAAGCTGATGATGACCTAAAAGTTTACAAAAGCCTATGCATAGCATGAATAGGACACATGATCCTCCGAGAAACGGTTTTAGTTAGGAATTTGTATTTCGAAGCAATCAGCTTTTACCAATGGTATATGCAGTGAAATACCATCTGCAGTTGTTTTGTTGTTCTGTTTGACTGCAGTTAACATTGTTAAAATTAATTTCATTGTCACATCGTACGACCACTGACATGAAAACAGTGGATGCCTTCATTAACGGCATGGTACTTGCTGGGAACAAGTGTTAAGTGTTTGTTAACTGATGTTTTGGAGATATATAGAATGTAAAGTTGAAAGATTGTTCCAGTTGAAATAAAATTTTGTATTAACAGTATTTAAAGACGATTCTTTCAATACACGGGCTGGAAAGCTCCCACATGTACTTACCCGATTTTCCAAGATCCCTTTTCATACTCCATGTACTGCTGAATATGACAAGGTGCCATAAGCACTTCTTTGTGGCAAAGATCCCTTGTGTAGCAGTAGTCATGAGTACTGATAACAATGATTTATGTTTTTCCCACTTGGGTTACTAATAATGATAGTGATAATGATAATGATAATGATAATGATAATGATAATAATAATTTGCTAACAGAGTATCCATACATAAAGCGCGTGCCACATGTGGTAAGGATTGGGGGAAAGCAAATACATTATATACCCTCTTTGCAAAGTTCTGGCTTAGTTAGCTCTCCTAAGTACGCATTCATTCACTCGGATTTCTCATTGCGTGAAGACGTTTCTATTTGAATTCCCGCCCCCTCCCCATATCCTGATTTTTGTCCCATTTTGGGAAACAAGAACTCCAGATATCCCTGATTTCCCACCAAGGCAACTAAAATCAACTAAAAAGCTAGGGATGAAATGCCCTTGGCGGAACTCCCATATCAAAAGGACAGGGATGCTCGATGGAAATTTCCAAAAGAAATCCTAAGAGGTACCAATTCTAAAACTACACATTAAATTCCACTGACCTGTTTCGGATCTATACCCTAAAAGGTACCACAAACTCTCCCACTGTGGACCTTTTAAGGCTGAACACCCTAAGTAGTATCATTATCTTTTCTCAAACCCCTAAAAGGTACGACAAGCACCCCCATCCTTTTTATATGAGAGTCCCCCTCAGTGAAATACTCGAGTTGCGATGAATATTGGAGACCAAATGACAGGTTCTCACCCATAAATTTTACTGAAAAAAAAAATTAAATTGCATTTTCTATAAAACAGCAACCTTTATTTATTGTACAATTGCAGCATTGCATAAAGACAAATCCTCAAATTGAGGTGGAAGTTTTTATTTACCCTTAACAAACTATGATAACTGCTTAAAGTTTTAAA